GCGGCCCCCCTCGAGGGAGCGCCCCCCGGGAGCGGGACCCAGGCCCCCACCCCTCAGCATCTCACTCAGGCGGCCCGCACGAAGGGCCGGGTCGGCGCCAAAAGACCGCTTCGCTGAGCCCGGGACGATCCCCGGCCGCCCTGCCCCCGTCCTCCCCACGTCCCTACCTGGGCTCCGAGCCGCACGTCGCTCCGAGGGCGGAATCAGGATCCTGGGCGGGTCGAGAGGCACCCTCCCTGCCCCCGCGCCTCAACTCCGGAACTCACTGAGGCGGGGGCTCTTCGGGGAGGAGGGAGAGCCCATGCCTCCAGTCCCCGAGGTCTTCGGGGAGGCGGCCGGGCACGCCCCCTGCCCCACCTCCACCTTGAGAAGCCCGCCCCCATCTCCTGCCCACCACTCCCGATCTCATTCCCGACCCCCGCTCAGAATTAATCCCACCTCCCACCATCGATGTCAACTGCTCCTCCCACTCCCCCCCTCCAATCAAGAAAACCCCCTCCTCCCGCCCTCTTTCCCTCTCTCCCTCCCTTCCCAGCCTCTGCCTGTGCAGGCTGGTGACATATGACAGCAGGAGAACATCTCCAGCCTGGGGGCTCTGAGGTGTTTCAGCCCCCTGCCTGTAGACAGGACTGCTCCTCTCCGGAGTCCAGACCCGGTCACAGCTCCTCCTACCGGTGTGGGACTGCATCCTCCTTCCCCCAGCCACGGCAATAATCCCCACAGCCTGGGTTTAAATTTCATCCTTTGTCCATCTCTAGGAAGTGGCCCTTAGTGCTCCCACTTTGCAGATGAGGAAACTGAGGCTTAGAGGACTTAAATGACTTTTCCAATGTCTCACTAGTGGGTGGAGGTCTGGGATTTACATCCATGTGCCTTCATTCATTCATTCCACAAATACACACACACACACACACACACACACATTTGTGTGTGTGTGTGTGTGTGTGTGTGTGTGTGTGTAGTCAAAGTCTCACTGTAGCCCAGGTTGGGATGCAGTGGCACACTCGTGACTGATGTAAAGCCTCAACCTTCTGGGCTCAGGCGATCCTTCTGCCTCAGCCTTGCAAGTAGTTGGAACTACAGGTGCACACCACCACACCCATCTAATTTTTTGTTTTCTTTTTTTTTTTTTTGAGTTGGAGTCTCACTCTGTCGCCCAGACTGGAGTGCAGTGACCGCTCCCGGCCACCACAGCCTCGACCTGCTGGGCTCCGGCGATCCTTCTGCCTCAGCCTTCCAAGTAGCTGGAACTACAGGCACACGCTACCACGCCCGGCTAATTTTTTGAATTATTATAGAGATGAGGTCTCGCCAAGTTGCCCAGGCAGGTCTTGAACCCGCGGGCTCAAGCAATCCACTCACCTCAGCCTCCCAAAGGCGCGGGATTACAGGCTGAGCCACCGAGCCCAGCTTCTTCTTCTTTTTTTTTTTTGGTAGAAACAAGGTCTCACCAAGTTGCCTAGGCTGGTCTGGGACCCCTGGGGTCAGGCAATTCTCTCGCCTCTGCCTCCTAAAGTGCTGGGATTACAGATGTGAGCCACCATGCCCAGTCCACAAATATTTGTAAAGCACTTGTTTTGCAGCCAGCACTGTTGTCTGGGTAGTGGGGTTATGGGAATGGACAAGTAACAACAGACATAATATACAAGGTCTATAGTGTATTAGATAAGTATTTTAAAAGTTGGGATTGGGGTGTGGAGGTTGGGACGGTGACAGATCAGGAGCCCTGGGGATCATGCCAAGGAAATTAGATTTTTATTTCAGGTGAGATGGGAAGTGAGCAGAGTGAGAGGGTCTGAATTCCATGTCAACAGCTCAATCGGGCCATTATGTCAAGAACAGACTTTGAGAAGTAGGGAACAAGGTGGAAGCAGGGAGCCATTTCAGGGTGAGAGGTGACCAAGGGGCAAGTCTGGTTTCTGGACCTACTTTGAAGGTGAAGCTGACAGCGTTTGCCATCTGCCTGGATGGCCCCTCCTGGTTGAGTTTCTTCAGTGCCAGCAGCTCAGCCCCTCCTGGCTCCTGAAGGGCTCAGTCAGAATCTCCATCACCAGGTTCCCAGACCCTTGGAGTCTAGCCTTAGTGTCTCCTACCTGGGGGCAAGTTCCTCAACTGGAGGAGCTGGGAGCCAGGCTGGGGTGGGGTAGGGACAGCTGGCCCTCTGGAACACTGACTCCACTGCGTGCCTTGGCTCTGATGTTGGGACCCCCGGTGGAGGCGTGAGAGACGCCAGACGAGCGTGGGTGGTTCCCAGCTGCCTCCTGTGTGAGGACCTGGGGGCTGGGAGAGACTTTCTGCTCAGCCCCCACCCCAGACCCCTGCGGTGACAAGCTCCCTCCCCTCACCCCACCAGGCCTGGCTGGTGTGCTGGGGTCAGGGAGAGGAGTGTGCCCAGCATCACTCCCTCAGTCCCTCCCCCTATCCCTCCCTCTCTCCTGCCAAACCTGGATCCTCTTCTCCATCCTTGGGGGCCCCCTCTTCACCCCATCTTGGACTGCTCAGTCCCTCTCTTCTTCCTCCCCAGTTCCCCAGCTCCGCCTCCTCCAGGCTGACCTCTCTCCTAACTACCTTTCTCCTCTGAGGGTGACCTGGTGCTCTGTTCTCAGGAACCCCAGTCTGCATTCTGTCCCCCCTGGCTTCTTCTCCCCCAAGTCCCTGCACCTAGAATGAGCAAGAAGGATCTGGAGGCAGAGCTTGGGCCCTGGTAGGCCCTGCTGGCTACTTCCCATCAGCCACTTCACCCCTCAGAGGGCCGAAGAAGCACTGGGAGGCCCCCCCAAACCAAAGGAAAAGGGTTGGGACTCCCTGCACTGCACACCAAGGCCCTGCTCTGAGATATAGCCCTGAAAAGGGGGACAGAGAGGCAGCTGGCCATGGTCCCTCACTCTGGACAACCTGGAACAAGTCTCTTCCACTTTCTGAGCTTGAATAGACAGGCGCCAACGGCCCTGGAAGCCTGTGGTGCAGAAGTGTCCTTTGGGGATGATCAGTCTCCTCCCACCTGAGACTGAGGCCTGGAGGAGGAGGCGTGGCTTGGGTAGAAGCAGAGGGGAGGAAGAAGTGGAGGGCCTCATCACGAGGACCAGGCAGTGAGCAGGGTCCACAGAAGAGCAAGCAAGTCCCCAGGGGCCAGGGCATGTCCTGTGGAGAGAACTAATGAGGGACAGAACAGCTCCCATATGCCAGAAAGAAAGGCAGCATCTCTGAGCACCTACAGTGTGCAGACTGCTCTGTGTGTGTCACCTCATTTGATCTCAGTGACCTTGAGGAATCAGTGATGTCACTGCCATTTTATAGATATGTAGACTAAGGCTCAGAGAAGTCAAGCCACCCACCCAAGGTAATACAGCAAGAAAGCAACAGCATCAGAATGTGAACACAGTTCTATGTGACTCAGGAGCCCAAGCCCCTCCCTGGAAGTCTCTCAGTGAAGTGGGTGACAATGGCCCCTCCCCAGCCCCCTCAGAGGCCCAGCCCGCCCCCCTTCCCCCACCCCCCGTTGCCTCTTTGGTCCCAAACGGTTTGGAAAATCCTGATGGGAGCAGATGGTGGGACAGATGGAGGGAAAAGCATCTCGGGGCTGAATTACACAAACAAACATTGAAAAAGTGATTAAAACCTCAAGCCACCCCTTTCTGAAAGGCCCTGCCCATCCCGACCTGAAGCACAATGGGCCCTGAGGTGGGTGCCTGGGGGGTCTCTAGATGCCCAGCATCTCAGCCCAAACGTCCCAGCTTCTGCCTGTCCCCGCCCCCCTGCCAGGGACCACCCCCGGACCAGAGCCCAGGGCGGCAGAGCTGCCAGGAGCACAGCCCGGGAGGGGGAAGGGGCGGGCCTGGCTGTTCCCAAGGGAGCTGGGCCCTGAGGAACAGAAGTGGGGATTCTGGAGGGGAAACTGCAGAAGTCAAGGGAGGGGCAGTGGGGAGGCTGAGGGGGTTGGGGTCCCTCAAGAGAAGCCTCACCTTCTGTGTGGGGCCCAGAGAGCTCCCATGCCTGCCCAGGACGTACAGCAACCTTGCCCACCTTCGCCTGCTCTGCCACACACCCCACTGTGGAGGGGGTACAAGACCCTTCGCCTCTGGAAGCTTCAGTTGGTTCCCTCCTCTGTAAATGGAAACAATAATAATAGCACCTCCCTGGAAGGGCTGTTCTGAGGATTAGGAGAGAGAAAACCCGTGAAGTGCCTGGCGCAGGGCCTGCCCAGTCGAGTCTGTCAGTGCTTGCGCGCTCCAGGCAGCTCACAGGGAATCCCTGATGCTGGGAGAGAAGGAGTGCTGGGGCTGCCTGAAGTGGTCCTGCTCTAGGGCAGAAGTCTAGGCTGGAAGAGCCTTCTGGCAGAACCCCCAGGCGGCCGAGCTCTGCAGCAGGAGGATGGCGACAATGCCCCCAAGAAAAGCCCGACTCCTGGGCAAAGGCAGCTGAGCTCGATGCCAAGCCCAGAGTCAGGAACCCCAAGGGACAGAGAAAACGCTGCCTTTTAGCGGTTCCTCAGTACAAGCGTGCAGATTTCGGAGGATGACACACCCAGTTCAAATCCCCACATGGCCTTTTTCCTTTGTGGGGACACTTGGCAAAAACAAACCTTCTGACCTTCTGGTTCATTCTCTGTAAAGCCCGCCTTTCCAGCTGCTTCCTGGACTTGCTGCCAGAAGCCCACAGCCACCCGGACTTAAGCCAGCCAATATCCAGCTCATCGCCTTCCTCCCACAGCCTGTCCTGCACCTGGGTCTCCCTCTGTCCACCAGATAAGAGCGAGGCCCCGCCCCACCCGGGATCCCTCTCCCTGCCTCACCCCTGCATCTGCTCCCTTCCCAAGTCCAGTCTCTTGGGCCCGCCCTCTCCTCCTGCTGCCTCTCAGGGCCTGGTTGGATCCACCTGTAGGACGGCTGGCTCTACCTTCTCACAGCTTGCCTTCTGTGATCTGATTACCTTCCTCCCTGTTTTAATGCCCTTCCATGGCTCCCCACTGCCTACCAGAGTAAGCAGGCATTTGAGGCTCTCCAAGACATGCCCAGCCCTCACCTCCCACCTTGGCTCTCCCCTTCCACTTTCCTGTACCTCCTGTACAAGATGCATGGGATCTCCCCACACCAGATGAAGGGGCTCCCTGACCCTCTCCCAGCACTCATCTCTCCATCTGGGATTTGACCTGGGCGGGTGGGTGAAGTCCTGCAGCTGGAACCATGTCCCAGACAACCCCTGCCAGCACAGCAAGGGCTCTTCTCTCTGCCGATGAGAGCAGCTCCTAGCTGGAAGG